TCAATACACAAAAGAGACAAAAACCTACTGTCATCAAACTTCCTGAACTCTGCCTCAATATAGGCAAAAACATACCAACTCTGCATAATATACAAAAGGGCCAAGCCAATAAAACAGTTCAGAAGAGTTTTAGGATAGAAAAGAAAGATACAATACCACAGTCCTGCCTCATCAGAACCAAACTCAAACCACTACTGTCATAACCAAACCCATCAAGCTGAAGCAAAAAAGACCAACATGATACATCTCAAAATCATAACCTGAAACACATAAACAAAACTGCCTAACCTCTCAAGCATGTCAAAACATGACATCCAACTCAACAATCATTCAAGGCATCAGGGACTCAGAGAAAAACAAAGTGTCAAAGGCAACATAGGCCCTCAGATCTGAGATCATCACTGGGCATCTCAAGGCAACCATTCAGCAAAAATTCCAGGCAACAACACGAAGGCAACAATAAGAAGCTAATCAAAACAACAGTTGTTTCAACCATAGCATCTAGCAACGAATTTTCAAAGGTAACCTAAGCCCTCAGTGAAACACATCATGGGGCAAACTCAAAGGCAAAACATTTGAGGCCACAGTTCTAGGCAAGCAAAAGGGCAAGCTCAAGGCAAAACATCTCAGGCAACATACAACAACCCAAGGCAACGCATTGTGGAAGAAGAAGATAAAAAAAAGTGAATTTTAAGAAGGGTTTTTCAGGCAAAATCTAGCATCATCATCAAAACCTTAATCATAAGCAAAGAACGAAGTTACCAGGAAGGCATCAAAAGCAAGCATCAAGCTTCATCACTGAAGCACCGCTCCGGCCTCCTCAACGTCATCCCTCTTCTCTCCTCCATCTCCAGAAATCAGGTAACGAACTTGCTATATCTTCCCCTTCACCTCATAAAAAACGAAAAAATAAAGAGCTCAGAACAAATTCCACGCGTATCAGTCATAGAAGAAAAAAGAGAACACTGAAACAAACCTGGAGCAACGTATCCACTGCCTTGGAGGGAAGAGAGTATGGGTTGCGTTGGTGGCCGGAGATAAGCACTCAGGGAAGCTTGAACGAAGAAGACGAAATTCAAGTGAACGGCGCCGTCCCTAACCCTAACCTTTGTTTCAAACTGAACCAAACGCCCAAACCCTAATTTCGCCTTTGTTGGACATGGGCTTAACCCGCTGCTAATCTTCTGCTTAAAGCCCACTAACAACACTAACTTCTTCTAACAAACACTAACCCTTTCTTTTCTTTATTTTATATTTACTTCTTTTTCTTAACACTAACTTTTTTTTTATATTTATTTTCATAAACAATATTTATTTCTTTTACTAACTTTATTCTATAAACAATGTTTTTTTATTCTTTGTAAAATACTAATTTAATTAACATGCATTTTCTATCATATAAATTTTTAAGTATATTTGTACATAAAAATAAGATATCTTTCTTAACACACATAATTTAATTTTGGACATAATATTTTTGTACATACATTTTAAAACATTAATTTGTATATATTATCTTTTCTTTTTTTTATACATAATTAAATTGAAAATACTTTTTGAAATACATATTTGTACATACATTTTAAAACATTGATTTTGTACATATTATACATTTTTATACCTAATTAAAATTGAAACTTTTTTAATCAACATTCACTTTTCATACATAACAATTACATACATTTTTTTCCTCTAATATTAAACTCACAAACATTAGACTAAAATACTTTCCAATTAATTTCCAAACATTTAATCAAAACACCTTCATTTTTCTTTTGTACATAATTAAACATACAAAAATCAAAAATACATTCAAAAAACATTTATCTAGGTCGAAACCCTAATACGATTCAACTTCACACTTCGCACTTGTACATAATTACACAACTCATATACATATACATCTCACATTTACACTTACACAATATATTGCCCTATACACATTTCATCTTATATTTGCACATTCGATATTTTACATTTTTGATTGTGACATTCGATTTGGTTGTAAATACTATAAGTCTCATCCCCTTGTATATTTATACCCCCACTCCCGGACACTATTTTGTAATAGCGTAGATTTTTCATTCCGCAATTTACAGTTTTCCAATTATACCATGTTTAGACCTAGGGTTTGTATGAACATAAAAATCAAACGCTAGATAACCTAATACAAAACAAATGCATGTAATCAATACACGATCACACTTGCACCTCCTAGGGTAATCCCACATGTTTCCTTCCAAAATGGGCCATGCTTGCACGTCGAGTATCTTTGGCAAAACGAATTCAAATGATCATAAGTCCCTCGATGACGCTTTCGAAAGTCGCCTATCAAAATGATCAAGTCCCTTCAAGCAAATTGCCAAAGACACTTGGCATCATTGCATTCATGGTCCATACGATGACCCGCGCCCGTCCCGAATAAACTTCCTAAACGCAAGATTGTCCATCAATTTCAATGGTGGAACAAAATTGTTAAACGGGGTTAAAACATGACAAAAACCTTTGAGTACAATAGGGTAGACAAAACTCTTAGTTACTTGAGATCAAACTTGCAAAAACACTTGCCTTCTTTTCAAAAACCACAATCCACAACACTTTCAAACAAACTCTCAAAAACATTTGAAACATCTTTTCGAAAAGATTCACACTTTTGTAAAACACTCAAACACGAGTCAAATACATTAGTTGTCTAAGACAAGGCATCTTTTTCCAAAACATTTTCAAAAAGCACCCACACACACACCATTTTCAAAGCAATCGAAAAACAAGGCAAGTGATCTAAAAAACCAAGTAACTAAGAGCCCATGGATAACCATGGATGAAAAGGGTGCTAATACCTTCCCTTTTCATAATCTACCCCCCGAACCCACGAAATATCTCAAAAGGTTTTTGCTGTGCTTTTTTAACCTTTCCTTTAGGATAAAGTAAAAAGTCGGTGGCGACTCTTGCTCAACCGCACAAGTGCGAATACGAACGCAAAACACAAGTCAGTTCTCCCACCGCGCCACAGCATGCATTTGAACTAATGATTCCCTAACATACAGGATGTCATAAACTTGATACTTTTCAGGGCAACCGTCCACCATATTCACTTCATTATCATTTAGGTATCTAGTGACTATTATGAGACCCTGATCTAGCAGGCGTTGAAGGCCTCTCTTCACAATATGACATCTGATCGAAAAAATAACAAGTGTACTATTTTCGCGATGTAGTAATAGTGGGAATTTCCCAAGATATCAATCTCGAGGACTGTGTATGAATATCTAGTTGAATATGTAGTTCAATTAAAAAAATAATATGTTGGGTTTGGATTTGAGATTTAAACTTTAACAATACTAGTAATGAGCAAAAAGTAAATTATGACTTTTTATAGTAATGAGCAACATGCTAGAGATAAGTGTATGATTTGCCACCTGATGACTTTCACTCTTGATCTTTTCAACAAGTTCATTAACCTCAACTACCAATTCTTAAGATTATTCTTCCCTAAGTCCTTGGTGAAAAACCTTTATCCTTCTGCCCTAATTTCAATACTCATTCAAATTAGTGAAGAAGTCAAGCATTTGGTTATCAAGAATTTATCTGGTTATTGTAGGATTACCCTAGTCCTAGGTGCAATCTTCTACACTATAATTATTTCAAAAAAACCTAACACGACAGCCCAATTCTACTATGTTAAGAAAAATAAACCCTATTGGTCCGATAGGGCAAAACGATATCATCATCTGAAACAATTAAATTGATGAAAAATAACTAATATGTTGATAAAACAAAGAGATCAGTATCATTACAATGACAAATCAGGGACATCCCCTAGCATTGGAGGGTTTAGCCTCTCATAGAATTCAAAAGAACAACTATGATAATAATAATTAGATATTACAAAAGGTTGGATTTGTAGATCTTCAATTGCTTTCGCGCTTGAAAGATTCTCTATCTCCAAAACTCTTCAAATTCACTCCTTCAGCGTGCAATTCTTCAATCATTCAAAAAGTGTTTTTTTCTTCTCAGAAATATGTCTAAATATTGTTAGGTCATTCCTCATCTATGTCAAAATATCCCAAATACCCTTAATCCTCCAAGACACTTAAAATTCCAAAAATCAGACATATTAGGATCTCCCAATCCATTTTCTTTATACAAACCAGAATGTCTACCTATCCACATCTTACTTTTGTGTATTTCAATGACACAACACCTCCACTTCAATTTTAGATCTATAGGGACATACTTCTTATTTATCTGGTAACCAGATTGAATACTCTCTTACAATATCCAAAAAATCAAAGAGTTGTCAAACTCGAGTACCGTTCATCCTATATAGACAACGAAGGAAAGATGCAGTTCACATTGCTTAAGTTGAAGACATATGATGATTTGAAATTGATGTGGCGTACCTTTTGTCATTACTCAACAAATGGTCCAATTGAAGCGGATGTGACGATTCAAAGATCGGTCGACGATATTATAAGAATGTTACAACGTCCCAAACCACCTGTTTTTAATAATATGTAATGTTAAATACTTATTTTAGAGTTAATTTATGTTGCTCCAATTCCATTATGTCATTGTTGTTTCAACATGTTTCTGCATTGAACTAATAGAGCATATTTCGTAGATGCATCTTCGAATATCTCATTGACTCATGAAGTAAGAGGCGTTACGGAGATGCATCTCTGGATTAACTTTTCGTGCATACGAAGATGCATCTTTGGATCAATTTTTTTACACAATAAAGGTTTTTCACCAATTTTACTTCAGTTGTGTGTAAAAAAGATACGTCCGAAGATACATCTTCAAACTCCAAAAATATTTTAATCTTTTTACAATAATGTGGGAGAAATCATAAAAAATGGAAAGAACATTTCTCTAAATAAATCAATATACTTATTATGTGTGATATCTCTAACACTTCTCTTTAATTTTAGTATTCAATAATCACACATTCGCACTGTATTCATGATAATTTTATTTAAAAGCATTCGTATTACTAAATGGATTTTAAAACATTCTCTTATAAGAGAACACTCACTAACAAATCATTGTTTTTCAGATTTACACACCTCCACCAATTCCTTACTTATCCTAGTTCTCACTCATTTAAATACCATCTAAAAATCCGCAAACACACTCATCATAGAGTGGTTGGAAATTTCGCATGTTCCTCTTCCCTTCCTTCCTTTCTTTTCCTTTATTCTTTTCTTTTTTATTACCACAATTACCTTCTTTCTCACTCTGGAAAAAGCAAATGGATGATAGAAAGCTTCTCAAACAGTTTTCCTCAAGTAACAACCAAGCATCTCATTCGTCTTGTTTATAAAATAAGGCACTCTTTCCGCACTTCTTTCCGCGTGCCTTGTTTCCCTTTCTTTTTAGAGTAGTCGCTTTTTCTTTTTCATTATTTTTAAAATAAAAATTAAATTTAAATGAAGTTCCATCTCATTATTTAACTAAAATTAATTTTAGCCAATCTTTGATAGATTTTGGACCAACCATCTTCCATGATAATGTCATTATTATTAACGAAGTGATAACAATTGAGTTGAGTTGAGTATATCTCAGTTACAGGTAAGTTTAAAAAATATTATCTTCTGTACATTTCTAATATAAATAAAATAAAATAAAAATATTCCCTTTAACTCAAGTAGAGTATAGAGTGGAGCTTAGTCAAGATATTTCTTTCCACACTGTTTTGTCCATTCAACAACACTAGTCACTAAACTCATTATCATTCCCTTCACCATTCACATTCCTAACACATAGATCCACCATGGATCATTCTAGATTCCAGCAACAATGTTGCACTTTCATCATCATTATTACTATTTTCGTTGCAGGACTCGCAACAAAAACCGAATCAATCGGTATAAACTACGGCCAAATCGCAAACAACCTACCTTCACCGGAAAACGTAGTATCACTCATAAAATGCGTCGGAGCAACCAAAGTGAAACTCTACGACGCAGATCCAAAGGTTCTAAAAGCTTTCGCCAACACCGGAATCGAATTCATGGTAGGTTTAGGTAACGAATATCTCTCAAAAATGAAAGATCCAAACAAAGCCCAAACATGGATCAAAACCAATCTTCTCCCTTATCTTCCCTCCACCAAAATCACCTCCATTTTCGTCGGTAACGAAGTTCTAACCTTCAACGACTCTTCACTCACTTCATGTCTTCTCCCAGCAATGCAAAGCGTTCACACCGCACTCGTTAATCTCGGACTCCAGAAACAAATCACCGTCACAACAACTCATTCCTTAGCCGTTCTACAAACTTCTTATCCTCCGTCTTCCGGAACGTTCCGTCCTGACCTAGCTTCATGCCTAGCTCCGATCCTGAGCTTCCATGACAAAACCGGATCTCCATTTTTGATAAACGCGTATCCTTACTTTGCTTATAAGGATAACCCAAAGCAGATTCCGTTGGACTACGTTTTGTTTCAACCGAATCAAGGGATGGTGGATCCGTCTACGAATCTTCATTACGATAACATGCTGTTCGCGCAGATCGACGCGGTTTATTCAGCGTTAGGGAAGTTAGGTTACGGGAAGCTTCCGGTTCATATATCGGAAACCGGTTGGCCGTCGAAAGGAGATGAAGATGAAGTCGGTGCGACGGTGGAGAATGCGAGGAAGTATAACGGAAATGTGATCAAGTTGAGTAGTAAGAAAGGAACGCCGTTGAAACCGGATTCGGATTTGAATATTTACGTTTTTGCCCTTTTTAATGAGAATATGAAACCTGGACCAACTTCTGAGAGGAATTATGGATTGTTTAAGCCGGATGGTAGTCCTGCTTATAACCTTGGGTTTTCTTTGTCTTCTTCGTCGTCTTCTACTTCGAGTCCTCCTTCCAACGACGCCGCTAAAAATGGTACTAGTGGATCTGGTGCTGGTGCGCCGCCGCAGCCTCCGACCTCCTCCAACGGTTATTTGGCCATTTCCTCCGCTAAATCACTGGTTAGTAATACTTGACTTCTTAGACTGTAGGAATCCATTTCAAATTAAATATTGTCCCAAAATGATTAGAGATACCATTACAATTTCCAATGTTTTTTTTTCAATTTAATTAATTAAAAACTTATATCATTTCCCATACATGATTAGAGATACTATAATAAAAATATTATTCTCTCTAATTTTTTCTGAAATGATAACTGGGTAGGTGGAAGTAGTTAAATTTGGTATTAAGATATATTAATTCCGTTGATTTAATATTTAGTATTAAGATTTTAGTACTAATTGATAGATTTCATTTAATTTAGACATTAAATTTAAAGTACAGTATACTAAATAAATGATTATGAATATATATACTAATTTTACGGTTTTAACTGTTAACTACTGTTTTGTCAAAAACGGTTAATGATAGATAATGTAAGTAATTTGTGACTTTAATAACGCTGATAAATACTTTTCTTTGATTCAGGAGAGATACCATTTGATATGGCTTTCTTTATCCTTTCTGCTGCCATTGTTGATGATTTTGAAGTTTTGAGGTTTTTTTCATTGCTAATGAATCTAAAGAAGACACTGCATCATGGCAATTGAAAAAAGAAGAGTAAAGGCATGCTGAGAAAGGAGTAAAAGGTAAAATCGACTAACAGAAGAAGCTAAGCTATTATTCATTTCACTTTGCTTGTCCTTTGCTATTGGAATTATTTTAGATCTAGTGAGATAGCGAATATCAAGCGCACTGTTGTCTCCTCTCAAAATCAGAAATTTGCCGTTAATTGTCCTTTCTCAATGGATGCAAGCTGCAAATTTACTAGTACATCTTTTATCTTTAGAGTTTAGACTATATATTTTCCAACTACAGCATTTGTTCCCTCTTAAATGTAGTTGATGTATGTATCTGCCATGGATTAGGCAAAATCACAATGGTTTATGTTGATTCTAGCAATCTCATCGCCAATCTTGCGACATAGTTTTCGAATTTTAACACCCGTCATTGTGAAAAAGGTTGTATCCGTTAGGAAACTGACAACACCACACTTTATTGTTGGGTGGCACATGCTAGTTGGAATCAATCAATAACACAAAGATAAAGAAAGATAACCTTTTTATGTTTTCCTTTTGCAGGGAGAATACATTATCTTCTCTTTAGAGTGTTGCTTGCCGGTCTAGGAAGGAAAAGGAGCTTTGTGCCTCACCCTGCCAGTTTATTTTATTATTTATGTATCCCATTTTATTGGTTCTCATTTTGAGATATATTCTTTAATAATGATTATGTGCTACGCTCGTTCACATTTGGTGTTCAATTCTCTCACACGCGAGACAATCACATTCACGTTCATGCATCTTATAAAAACATCATATTTAAAAAACAAGACATTCACATATATGCATCTTTTAAAACATTAATTTCAAAAACAAACAGGTATTCCGAAAGATAGTGAAAAACCACCGATACAGGATTCAATTTGGGACAGACAAGTCCAAAATTTTGGATAATATTTCCCAGAAAAAGGATTTCACATGTTGTCAAATGTTTGGCATGATGATACTATCGAACATTATTTCACATGTTGTCACAAGTATGATAGTAACAGATAGTGAAAAACCAAGACTTTTTCACATGTTGTCACAAGTATGATAGTAACAGATAGTGAAAAACCAAGACTTGAGCCAATAAACGGACTATTGTTTTTTGGATGAAACTCCAAAGTAAGATGTTGCCTAAGACAGCACAAATTTCAAGGAAACCAAACATGCACATGCAGAACAAAAACAATAAGAATCAAACAGAAACTGTGGAGGACAAAAGAGGGGATTAGAAGAACTCTGGGGCTTCCAATTCGCAGACCTTGGAGACAGTGTTTTGGTTCAGAAACAAAATGCAGCATTGGCTCATTTTGTTTATATCAGACGAAAATCTGAAAATACACCAAAAACTGGGATCCAGATTAAGGGGAAGGACAATAAGGAGAAAGGGCAATAATGCCATTATTTAATATATAAAAAAAATCCGACCAACATCTCTTCCACACATTTTATGTAATTGGGACAGTAGAATCCTAACAACATAATGGAAGATGAGTACAAATTCTTTCACGAACACGAGCATTGCCTATTAGTAGAGTACATAAAGGTGCATAAAACTGTAATGGCGATGATGACGAATTCAGGATGATCTATTTTAGCCTCTGATAAAATGAAATACAGAAGAACCTAACAGTTCTGTTCTAGGCTGCAAAATTTCTGTCAAAAAATGATATCATGTAATATTAACTGTCAACCAAAACTCCCAAATAAACAGGTTTTCTAGAGCCTCGCCTATAACATTTTGATTAATTGCTGTTAAAACAGTCTGTCTTCACATTTTGCTGTTTTGCACTGCAAAGTAAAATGGCCACCCAGAACTTAAACTCCAAATTGTATTTCATCATATGATCCAGGCATCATAAAACAAATGACCCATCATTTTCTACAACAACATGCATGAACAACCTAAGACATCTCTCCTTCCATCTGGCTTTTACTTCCAACTCTCTGATAAAATAACACATATGCAGCCGAAGATTTAATTTCAGCTTCACTAACAGGGCTGACATGACTGTCATCAAAATGGTACCACTTATTATCATCAATCAACTGCACAGAACAAATAACATCAGGTTATAAACAGAAACTGACATCTCGCGCAGCACAGAATTCACAAACTACAAAATCAAGACTTGGCATGGCCACACGGATCATGAAAAATCAAACATTATCATCAGTGTGCATCTTATGAACTTACCTTAGCATATGCAGTGTAATGCCCACCACCTAGACCACCATAATGGTTGCTGATTGCATAAAGGTTATACACATAGGGCTGTCCTTCCTTATTCTTCACATACTTAGTCAAATCAAGATTGTGAATAGGAAAGTTCACAAAGGTGTCAAGTTTGTTTTTCAAGTATCTGCTATACGAGAATCGTTTTAAGTGAAAAACCAGAATCTCTGGCAATTTCCACAAGTCCAGTTTCTTGGTAGCCTGTCTGTGTTCCTTGCATTGAGGGCAGTACCTAATTCATGTTTAAAAAAGAAAAAAATTAAAGCAAAAAATATTTCCCAGTGTACATGGTAGTACACTATAAAATAATGAAATCCATTTCAAAAAGATTGAAGCGATCTTACCACATGTCATCTGGTCCTAGAGGTTCTTCAGTCAAGAATGCCTCCAAGCATGAAAACAAAGAAATAGCTTCTTGGCGGGTTTTTTTCACAGAGAAACCGGTTTTGTGGACTTCGGGAAGATCTCTCAGATAGCTGGCATCATATAATTCATATTCTCTCTCAGTCCAGTCAAGAAAGACCTTTATATGTGCACTGGGTTTTATCACAGATGCCTTTTCAATGGGCTCACAGCTAAAACATCCATCATTAGTTAAAGCAAGTTGGAAAGAAGACTCCCCACATGATGTCCCCTCCTGTTCTCTGGAGCCATGTGTCAGGTTTCTTGGCTCACTTTCAGAATTAGAGATGCTTGATTGCTCATCACTACTACCTGAGATGAAACCATTTTCCTTCCCTTCATGAGACCTAGTTGAAGAATGTGCTTTTCTTAAAGGTGCCAACATTCTATGTATATATGTCTCAATGTTTGCTCCATATTGAGGATCTTCTACCAAATAAGTAACCAAGGGAGTTCCAAAGATCTTCTTGTCTCCACCCTTTAAACTGTCCAGTGAAGTCAAGATAACTGATTATCTTTTTTTTATTTTTTGAACACAAGATAACTGATAATCTAATTCACTAGAAATAGAGATTCAAGCATTATAATGTTCTAAAACAATGCACTGTGTACGGTGAAATCTAAATAACCGGTTGTGAAATCATGCTATGGTAAACTTCTTTATACTAAGCCACAGCACCAAATGGTGGTTATGCATACTTCCCTATACCACATATAGCAGGTACCAACTTTAGTGGCGCCTGCAAAATTCTGTTGATACTTGAAATTCCTAATAGTGGAGAAAATGACCAAAGCATCAGAAAAATGATGGGAGTAGTGTTTTGGGTTATAAAAGTAGTGATAAAAAAAATGATTGCATTAAAGAGATAATGTGTTCAGACAGGAGGCTTTAACCACCATTATCAATGTCTGCTTGATTTATTCATATTTGTACTTTGGAAGAGTTCAATGGGTAAATCAAACTGTTGAAACCAAAATATAACAGTCTCCAGTCAGTTGCTTTCAAGGAGGAAAAATCAATTTAACCAAATTTATTACAACTAGTGCAGAATTCAAATAACCAAGACGAATACTTTGAGTTAAAAGGAGCCTTCAGAATAAATTTATAACAAGAATTATTTTACCCAAATTTACTGTCATGTCACATAGGCAATGAAAAATATCATATATTGGAACCGTGACTCAACCCAAATTTATTACAACTAGTGCAGAATTCAAGTAACCAAGAGGAATACTTTGAGTTAAAAGGAGCCTTCATAATAAATTTAACAAGAATTATTTAACCCAAATTTACTGTCATGTCACATAGGCAATGAAAAATATCATATATTGGAACCATGACTCAACGTGGCTTTCACATTTAAGAGTATATCTTAACACACCATAAGAGGTATACTTACTTATCCGGACATCGATGCACTATTTCTAGTTTTGTTTTCCTGGCTCCATTCTTGAGTCGATAGGCGACAATATGTTCTTCATCCTTGATTGAAGTCAATGACTCTAACGGATTCTCTAGATATCGATAAATCTTATGCTCATAAACCTGAGAGATAGACAATATAAACATTAACAATAAAATAAAAACGAAGTAGAAAAGCCAATAGTAAATCTAACGTTTCTCAGAAACACTTGCCTCTGCAAGCAAAAGCATTTCATCACTCTTCAAACAGCATGCAGTGCCCAATGCTTGGCAAAGGTCTCTGCAGCAACCATGCTTCAGAACATTCACTGTGTACGGCATGGGAAGTCCACTCCCATCACAATAAAAGACAGTAACTGTCATTGTCCGGGTGACAGTGGAAGGGAGTGGTAATGATAAATACATAAAGGGATCGAAAGTGATTGAAATTTTGCCACATTCAGGACAAACCAATGTTGATTTGTATTGACCCTGCATTTTATTCAAGAAAAATCAAAATGTTAAGCTTAAGGAAGATAACGAATATGTACTTAAATTGAAACTCTATCTTGTCAAGCTATAATGGAAACCTAAGCTCAGGAGTTGATAGATTAGAAATCAAGAAGGTTTATTGACATGTGAAGAAAACTCAACAAAGCATCTATCATGTGACTGGGAAACAAGGACATATGATATATACGAGCACTCACCTGGCATTCATCAACAATCAATGAATCATTCCGAGCCATATGATTTTTCCAACACTCATACGCAACTTCCTCATCTGGCCTATTATCTGAGTCCTTCATTTCAATGTAAGGCTTTTGTTTCACACGATTCAAATCTTCATGCAGTCCATCCAATAAAAAGGCAAGCAATTCCTACAAAAAAAGTAATTCACTACTCAGAGAACAGACAGCACAAGAAGCAGAAGTTCAATAGCTTTCAGAAATTAGTAAGAAAGGTAAATTTTAAAACTATAAAGTTGTCAAGACTCCATAAAGAAACCCAAGCAACAGTCAAATTCCCTCATCTCCAACATTAATGCAAACTTGGGGCCTAAGGGTAGGATGCAAATGCAAGTTAAGCAAAAGATGTCCAATTCTCCTGTCATCTGGTAAACTAAGACCTATACATAATGCAATATAGGATTAAGTTTGCTGCTATCATTTGGATTTTAGTTCTTACAGCAGAACAGGAAAAAACATAACAACAAAAAAACAGTTTTACTTCTACAATCACGGCGGATGCACAAGGGCCATACAGGTATAACATACTGGCAACAGACAACTTCAGTAAGTCTAATAAAAGATCCTACAAAACCACAAACCAGTGATAGTGATCTTCTCTTAGTCTATAACAAAAACCACATGGCCCAAAACTAAAGAAAATGTGGGACTATATCTCATCAAATGTGGGACTCTTAAAAACTAAAGAAAATGTCAAGTCACACAAAACCTTTTGGAAGCCAATTTTTAACAAAGAATTGCTAGTTACAATTACTTTTAGACCTGATAATAAGTGGACAAAAATACAATAAAAAATAAAACTAAAAAGAATGACATTTCAGGGACCCAAACACGATTTCATTGGCCCAAAATCTAACTTGATATACAAAATAATATATGATTGAAAATAAGGAACACGGTTTCAAATATATGATTGAAAATGCTAGTAAGCAGAAGACACCATGTAAAAGAAATTTTTTGACGTAAGTAATAGCAGCACTGGGGTTTATTTACTTCACTACATTCCCAAAAATCAAAATTAAAACAATTTGCAGAAACTAACTTGAGAATCATGTTGGTTATAGCCACTGAATTGTGGAGCAAATCGGGCCAGCTTTCCCTTGAACGCGCGTGGTGCAATAGCAGTTCGCCCAGAGGACCAGAGTTTCCTCAACAAGTCACCAAATGCAAGTGCTAACTCACCCTGCAGATCAGAGAAAAGTTAAAATGGCGAAATTAATTGCCTTCAAAGTAGAGCCATTGTGCTACACAAAGTGTTATACAATAGAGAACAGCAGGAGAAATAAATAAAAGCCAACAGAAATGGTCACATACACTCATTCCTAAAGGATTGTCCCTGTTGATTTCATCATTGTAATCTTGTAAGAAAAATTCAAAAAGTGGTGGAGTGTGGACTAAACATTGAAGAGCACTATTCATAAAGCAGGTATTCCCCAAGTTCTGCAGTCCTGCTAAACCACCCCTTTCACCTCTATAGATGTCATAGTTATCATCCATAGTAGTCAATGATGAACTTACAGAACTTCCCTGATACAAATTAAAACCAGACCCAGTTGAGTGACCATTTGACAAGGTAGGTCCCCCTGCAATTGACACAGATGATCTTGGAGGTTCTAATGGTACCAATGCTAATTCATTTCCTATTGAATGCACACCAGAATGAGAAGAACTGTCTGTATTGACAGAAACTTCTAGAAGAATCTGTGAGCAAGAGATAAATTAGGGGAATCAGGCTTCTATACAAGAACCAATACCAAGCAAAAAATTAGGATATATAGCCTAACAAAAAATTAAAATAATACCAAGAGAATATTCAGCACCTCACTCAACCTAAAGACACTCATATAACCCTATATTGGATATATGAGTGTCTTTAGGGTTATATGAGTATCTAAAGAGAATATCCACCGTGTACTTCATATCAATCAATCAAAAAAATCTATATAATTCAAAGTTACTCACATCATGGTCCATTGTCATGTTTGCATCCTCCAATGTTTGGTGGTCTGAAGCCGTCAGTAATGAAAGCTTGTTCAAATTGAAGTAATCCCAAATACAAGCCTAATAAATAGTTTACAGCCAATGAATACAAAACGACGGAATCGGGAGTGAGATTTACAACAAATGAAAAACAAACCAAAAAAAAAACATAAATAAGAATGCCACCTTGTTCTGTTCTACTCCTTTAACTTTGCACACCAGCTCATAAAGTTCACTCAACGTAGCCTAAAATACAATACAGAATTAGAAAACCAAAATCAGAAGAATGGTTTATCTCACATTTGAATCATAAAATCATATCATGTTATCTGCTACTCAATTCCAGATAAAAATAGAGTAAAATTCTTATATTTGTAATCTTGGAAAAAACTTAATGCGCCAGTTCATGAAGTTCACTCATGGCAACCTAGAATACAATACAGGATTAGAAAACCAAAATTAGAAGAATGGTTCATCTTACATTTTAATCATACAATCATGTGTTATCACCATATTTTGGTGCTATTCTACTCCAGATAAAAATAGAGAAACTCCTATTTTGTAATCTTGGAAAAAAATTAATGGCCTTAAATAAATGTCTTACAAAATAGAACACCCTGTTGATAACTTGATATAAATTATGCAATTACAAGTCAAGATTAAATCATTGCCCAATCACCCAAGTTCTTTGAGATTTTGACTATAATTTTTCTCTCTACTTTCTATAGGAAATCAAATGAGAATATTGAGAATTAAGATTGACTAGCACATATGTGTGAAGATTAAATTATTGCCCAAACACCAAAGTTCTTTTAGAGATTTTGACTACAACTTTTCTCTCTACTTTCTAAAGGAAATGAAATGAGAATCATTACAATTTGATTAAATAAACATGTAAACATGTCATTTAATTCAACTTATTCCGAGCAAAATATGAATCTTGATGATGACCTTGTATAAACACACAAAATATAAAAATTGCTTAAAACATCACATAATGTAATAATATTAAACTTTACACAAACCAAATAGTATAACCATCTTATAGTGATAATAAACACCGACATACAATGCATATTCCATACAAATAGATGCACCACCAACACCCTTTTCTAATCATTGGCATTACTGAAAACTAATTACAACAGAAGAGCTTACAACAAAATCTATGAGTACCTTTTTGCTTAATTTTACAATTGAAACACTGTTGTCTCTCGCATCGGTCACCTTTAGACTAAGTGGGTACACCTCAATACTGTACTGCTTCTGTCCAACACCCTGAGAAATCAACTTTCTTGGCAATTCCGGTCCACCTTTGTACCTACATTTGTGAGACAAAAATCAGTTCACACCAAGCAAAAATCAAGTATTTTAATTCATCCAATGAAAATTTGAATTCATTCATTTTTATTTCATCCAATGAAAATTTGAATTAATTCATTTTTTCCACTGCCCAAATCCTATGATGTTTCCATAAATATTTCAAAATTCAAATATTAATCCTGGCCAAGCAAAAGGTTTAAGAACAATTTCCCCTCAACATGTAATTTTTCCCAGACTTAACTTCAGATAAAATAACACACTGCCTATAGGGTTCATGGAAAATAATTATACACTAAGTTTAAACGTGTTTCAGGCTTTTGCTTTATTATGTTGCAGACCCAGTTCAAAAAACCAATTAGGAATTTGATTCCTGAACCACAAGAATTATGTTTGAGGAACTAAATCTGTGTTGCATCTCTACGAAAACGTCACTGAATACATAATAAAATGTGTTGAAAGATAAAATAAGCTTATTTGACTCTTCAGTTATCTACAGCTACAAACCACAAGATTACTAAGTGTTTTCAGACCAAAAAGCAAGAAACATATTGAGAATAATAAGCTTACCATTCCAACAGCCTTTCCCATACTTCTTGAGGAACTAAAACATAGTCTGTCTCTTCTTGCAATGTTCGATGAAGATCTAAATCATTCCCATCACAATTACTTCCATTTGAAATAATATCAGAATTATCAATTGGACCAGGTCTAGCGGTGTCGGCATGCAGGCCATCCGAAGATTGCTGATCGGTGGAAAGCATTCCAGGACAATGCCCCACATACATCTGCCACCTTGAAAACCATCTGCATGGGTTGCAAAAAAGTCTTGATTAAAAAATGGCAACCTACATATGAAATATAATATAAAATGTAGAACAATATAGGTACATTTTGATAAGCTTTAGGAAAAAAGCATGTAGCATTTTTCCATAGCCATAGCTTTTTCCAAAAGCTACTTCATTTAGACTGAAAAATAGCACTAAGACTTATGGATACATCTAAAATAATTTAGACACATTCTGGGAGTAAAAAATATATTTGGAAAAACACAACAATAAAATAAAAAACACAACAACAGCAACAACAATAAAATAAAATAAAACACAGGGCTAACGAAGGATTATAGTTGTCAAACCCACATAGTAAAGCATATGACCCAGAAAACAATAAAGTAGGATTGCAGATAGTGTGATGGCTGCTATACCAAATAAACAAGAACAACAACCAAGCCATATCCCACCAAGAGGTGTGGGCCATACCAAATATAAAGGGGGAATGGATAATTTTTGCTGCACAGATAAATGTTTGAAATAAAAACTAAAGTACCCAAAATGAAAAAACATAACATCACTGATGATTACATCCTTCAAACGAGACAGAACAAATCATGTAGAGCCAGAGAAGATGTCTCTGTCTCGCAGTAAAAAGAAACATGAGAAAAACCATGGAAGAAATTACATTAAAAACAATGGAAGAAATTACAGTAAAAACAATGGGCAGACCTGTAAGCGCTATGGACAGAAACCAGAAGAAAGAAGAGACTATAGAGATTCAGGGGCTGGGAAAAAAATCATGTGGTGAAGTTATCAATCAAGTACAATAGAGACTGTAGTGTTTCTCAAGATGGCAGTGACTAAAGCAGAGAAATGCAATTGCAGAGGCTACTGAGGTGTAACAGGGGTTAAGAACCAACATTTGCTCTGGATTTCTGAGTTTATTTAGTGACTAGTAAATTTGTATGCAGTATTTTGTTTCAGAAACGTTATAAGGTTTGATATCATTCTTATTTGATCATTCACACACAAAAATACCTGTCTTGAACAGTGTTTTTTTACCCCATTGACTCACTGTCCCCAGCATCTTTACATCACGTACCGGAGATGGGGGATATGAAAAAACAAAATCAATGACAAATTTAAGGGTTAGTGAACAAAAAAGAGGGAGACAAAGATTCAATTTTGTGTTAACAGTATCGTCCTTGATTAGTCCACTATTTCCTTGCAATCGCTGCTCTATAAAACCCCAACAAGCTGCCGCATCTTTCACGACCAGGCATTCAATGCATTGCTATGACAGCCACACCGCGAGCAATTAATGATAACGGTAATAATAAGGAGAATAACCTAGTACCTGGCATTTATTAATTAGGGCTGGTACAAAAGTCAGTAGTTGCTAAACACGTATTGCTTGTCAATAATCATCATACATTTACACCAAAGCCGAAAATCGACAAAAGATCATCAACTCATATCAGGTAAAGTAACATTAACGACAAAGCCAGAAATCAACAAATGATCATCAACTCACATCAGGCAAAGTAACACTTACGACAAAGCCGGAAACCGACAAATGACCATTAACTCGCGTCAAGTAAAGTTACATTATCTTACGAATTAATCGACAAATGCATCAATAGGCATATATCTCTGTCTACCCACAACACATGGTTCCATTTATTAACTGCATCAAAAAGTCCCCAAATCGACAAGCCAGTCCGCATGCTTTTTCACAAGATAATCAATCATATTCAAATTCATCATTCACAGCAATAGGATATACCATATATCATATAATCGCTAAAATTCAAGAACAAAAAAAGGAGATTCAGATGAGATCAAAAACCTATTGGAAATAACGTAGTACAAGTTGCCCTCTTTCAAATTAAGTTCCGATTTCTTAATCAACTCAGACACGATCCGCTTCTCTTCTTCCGGCGGAATCGGCAAACAACTCGCGCCATTATCAATCGGGAAATCCGAATCAGCAACAGTCATGGTGGATTTTATCGACAAAAATCACAATGAAGATCTCGAATTGAAACCCTAAATCACCGAGATTAACAACACATAGTTAAATCGAACATCAAGTTCAAATATACAACCGATTCAAGAAAAAAAGATGAAGTGCGAAGCACGATAAGTACCTTGTTCAAATAGATCCAACTAGATAATAAAATTGACGAGAAAATTAAACTAAATGAAATGAAGAAGAAAAAATGCGAAGATTTGAAATACGAAAGAGTATATTCGAAGAAGAACCCTAGATTGCAGGCAAAATGGGAAATAAGGTTAAATGAAATGTAATGTACGTAACGTGAGGATCTAATCTAACTTCAAGAAACTTTACCGTCTTTTCAACGTCCTCTTCTTGTTCAGTCTTATATATTTGCCCAGTAGAAAGTTTTATTTTGACCGATGTAGAATTTTTGTTCTAGTATGGTACATTTTAAATTACTTTTATTAACATGATTTGATATTTAAATTACATAAATATTGTCTATGCGTGTGGATAAATAAAAGTTAAATGATGGTACTATTTTTTAGATGGATTTGAATTGCCATTATTCTTTTTTACTTCACATTTATGGTTAATCAAGTTGATCTCTTCTATTAGTTTTATGAAAATAGTTAAATTTGTCTTGGTTGACATTTCATGTGACAAATGATAGATTATAGTTTGTATTTTGTGATTTAGAAAGTCAAAAAAAAAATTTATATTTCCATTGACTCAATGTAGGTTCATTGTATATAGAGTTTTTGAAGTTAGTTGTATTCTTCAATCTAAAATCGAAGTTGGTGTTTAATGATCTCAAATTGAGTTTCAAAATCTTAAATTGTGTTTGTCATGTTGAACTTGTTTGATTCATTCTTTTGTTTGAGTTTAGAGATAACAAATCATCTTTCACTTTTGTCATTTCTTTTACATCTTGAAATTAACATCATGTCTAATATATCTAGGAACTCGAGAAGATATTTTGGTTCATAATAACACAATATGGATTGATACTTTCAATTATTTGAATTTATTTGATCTGAGAAGACATAAGAAGAGGGATTGTTGCATTTAAGAGGAAATTATTTTGTGATTTGTCATCGGTATTACAAGTCTAAATAATATTATTAAAAGGTGTAACTTCTTTAAGTGGTTTGGCAATGGTAATGACTATGATCTACTTCAGCTCCCCCATTGAATCAACATGCCTCTTGAAGTTAGGAAGTCTGAGAAGTGCTAAAGCATCGATGAGTCAAACATTGGGATCCAAAAGACATTGACATTGCATATCAACCCATAACCTTAAGGTATTATGGGTATAAGTCATTTCTCTTATAAACCTGACATTTCCTTCATTCTTTGTCGATGTGAAACTTTAATGCTTTCACACTTGAAACCCAACAATATTGATGAAAGAGATTTAAAGATTGAGAGGTATAAGAATACCATTTTGAAATTGAAGAATGAGTTGACTAATACAGAAATATGATTGAAAATATCAATGATGTTTGGGTTTGTGTGCTTATAGTTAAATTTAGTATTAGTGACAATATTCTTGTTTAGTGGCATTATATATAGGGGGTCTAATGTATTTGAAATAGATAAATATAATATATTAATATTATTTATAATCTTATTGTGAATTGATGTTGTTGTTCCATTAAGCTTATGTATTTTAATGTCATTAGCATCATGTGTTAGGATATTAATGTTTGTTATTAAAATCATGTTGGAGTTGACATCATGTGTTATTGTATAATATAAGTAACTATAATGTTTGAAACATTAAATTTGAAAACAATATACTAGTAATTTTTGCATCATAAACTTCACATTGTATATTAATTTGGTAGCAAGACTACATCAAAATATTGTACTAAGATCACACTAAAAAAAGAGTACCAAAAGAAATTAAGAAATGTGTCATAGTTATCATTAAGTGTATAAATGTTGCATAAATCTTAAATTTATTATGGTTGACTTAAAAAACCTTAAAAGGTTTTATTTATGTTAAGGTTTTATTTATCAATATCATGTGTTGCAAATATTGATATTGGTTGTGAATAGAGGTGAAAAAAGTGAGGTCGGTCTACGGATATCTATTATTTAGCCTATTTAAGGTTAGGCTACATCGGACCTATTTAATAAAAATGTTAGACTTGAGTTTTTTAAAAATCTTATTTGATTAAATAGGTCGGACTTAGGCTATTAAAAAAGCCTATGAAATCTTATAAATCGACTTATGTTTTCATATATATTAAAAATAGACTAAATAAGCTGGTATATATGTGTGTGTGTGTGTATATATATATATATATATATATATATATATATATATATATATATATATATATATATATATATATATATATATATATATATATATATATATATATATATATATATATATATATATATATATATATATATATATATATATATATATATATATATATATATATATATATATATATATATATATATATATATATATATATATATATATATATATATATATATATATATATATATATATATATATATATATATGGGTAAGATGTGTAAATCGACTATGTGGATAAAGGGTAACATGACCGGATATTAGCTCGACTGAAGTCAGAAGTCTGTAACTGTTACACCCGAGTAATAACTCATCTTGGGCACGAGATCGGGGAATGTCCATGGTCGGGGCACACCAACCCGTAGCCAACCAAGAACTCGGCCCAGACATAAGTATAACGGTTGTCGGGTGATTAATATGAACGGTATGCTATCTTAAGTGCACTCATTCATTGCTGACGACGACTGTTCTACTCGCTTGGAAAATTACATAAACTAAGAGTCACCTCTTAAATGAGTCTCTCAAAGGATCAATAAAAGGATTATATAAAGGGGGCCTCGTTAGAGGGATAAGCAAGACATTTATCTTAGGTCAATATAAATCATCATCGTAGCACCCAAATCTCTCAAAATCATACAGAAATCTACTCATATCGCGACTCTCCTTGTTCAAAGAAAGTTATTGATTTAGTGTTTTTTGCAAGAACATTTGGCGTCCACTGTGGAGCCTCAGTAAAACTTACCTAGTCCACATATCCAAAGCATATTCAAAAGAATATCCTCCGAAGGGGATCCCCTAGACATGGCGCAGCTGCTGGCAATGGTGGATGTCCTCCGACAATAAAATGAAACACTACATCACAGCGTACAAATCCTGCAAATGCAAATCCAGACGAAGGGGGAGCGAAAATAGGAACTTCTTGAACCCCAATCGCTTTCACATGCGATATGGGATTACCTAGTTCCCAAAAACTTCAAAACACTGTCGCTCACATCCTTTGACGTGAAAACTGTTTCTCAAGAGCATATTATCTCCATTAACAATTAAATAGAGATAATAGGGCCCTCAAACTCATTGAAGTTTAAAATCGTGTCGGGAACTTTCAAAAATGTAACTCTCAGGTGGTACATGAGCCTTCTTCGGCTATCTGTAGTGAGCTATCAGAACCTGACCAAGAAGTTGATACAACACTTCTCGGCAAACAAACACCATAAGGTATCAACGACTAACCTGTTCAATGTTCGACATGGGAAATCGAAATCCCTATGGGAGTACCTGGCCAGATTTAATAAGGAAACCATCAAGGTTGCCCACCCCAATCAAGAGTTGTTTGTTGGGGCATTCCAACACGGTCTCTGGGCCCGAAAATTTAACAAATCTCTGGTGTAGAAACAGGCATCTAGCATGGACGAGGTCATTAATATGGTCGAGTACTATATTAAACATGAAGAAAGAAATCGGGAGAAACGATCAAGAGTGTTATACCCCAAAATTTGCCCTTTCATTTCTCAAGAATTTTCTCACAAGATCTCTATTGATTCAAGACTGCACAGGGTTTGATCAGCTCAAGATACCTCCTCAAACATTGATGACTCAAAACTAGGGTTTAAGTTTGAACGAGTACAATTGGACTTTTAATGCCCCATATAGTTTCCATGGATCATATTGGGCTCTCAAGCATTCGGTCGAAGATGGAACTTTTGAATCCTCGAAAGGAGGAAGAGGAAACTATCGAAAGGGAAAAACAGATAAAAGAAGATGTGCAGTTGCAGATAACCATGTCGAATTCAAAATCTGGTTCAGGTTGTCCAAACCACATGACAGATCGAAAGGAGTGTGTGATACGGTGGGAGAACTGACTATGTGTTTTGCGTTTGTTTTCGCAAATGTTTCGGTTGAGCAAGAGTCGCCACCGACCTTTTATTTTATCCTAAGGAAAGGTTTAAAAAGCACAGCAAAAACCTTTGAGATGTTTTCTTGGGTTCGGGGAGTAGATTATAGAAAGGGAAGGTATTAGCACCCTTTCTATCCATGGTTATCCATGGGCTCTTAGGTACTTGCTTAGATCAACTTGCCTTGGTTTTTAATTGTTTGAAATGGTGCTTTGTGCGTGGTTTTGAAAATGTTTTGAAAAAGATGCCTTGTCTAGGCTACCCTTGTAACAATTCTTTACTCGAATGTTTTACAAAAGGTTTTTGTCTTTTTGAAAAGATGTTTCAAGGTTTTTTTTAAAGTTGTTTTGCAAGTGTTTGTGAAGTGTGGTTTGAAAAATAGGCAAGTGTTTTTGTTTTGCAAGTTGACAAGTACTTAAGAGTCATCTACCCTAAAGTTCTCAAAGATTTTTGCTACGTTTTAACCCTTTTAACAATTTTGTTCCACCATTGCATTTGGTGGACAATCTTGTGTTAGGATGTGAAAGGGACGGGCGCGGGTCATCGTTTAGACCATGATTGCAATGGTGCCAAGTATCTTTGGGCAATTTTCTTTTAAGGGACTTGATCATTTTTTAGGCAACTTCCGAAAGCGTCATCGAGGGACTATGATCATTTGAATTGTGTTTGTTTTGCCCAAAGAAACCTAACATGCAACATGGCCCATTATTGAAGGCAACAAGTGGAATACCCTAGGGGTGCAAGTGTGATTAGTGTTTTCCATTTTCAT